TGAGCTCTCTCATAAAAACCAATCAATCGCTGTTAGAGGATGTTTTGATGATACAACAGGAAAGCTGGCCAGTGGTACATAATACATTCGGTAAATGGACTCCTAATATTATTGCTAGACTTATGATAAATAACTTGATGATGGCACACCTTCTGTGTATAAATGCGTGTACTATTGATTAATAAGAGTTGATTTTATTCAATTTAGATATTAAATAAAATACCACAAAAACTAGAAGTCTCTCACATAATTCAGATTCGCTTTATTGGCCATAACCCCTCAGAATGAAGTCTCTCAATCACCAAATACCAAACAATGTTTTCGAGTAGAAAAAAAAAAGTGAAGTCTAAACCAATTTGGTGTGTAAGGGCGTTCTAGCTGTGTGGCATTTGAGGAATGCTGACTAACACTTCCTGTTTCCTGTCCATTCAGGAAGCGGCAGGTTTTAACCCCTGGCTGCCGCAGCCATTCCACTCTCTTATCTTCAAGATGCTGTTTGGGACCCCCAGGGATGGTTTAGTTAGAGGATGAAAACCACAGTCATTAAATAGGGTCAGTAAGGGCTTCCTGGAGGCTACTGTTGTCTCTCACGATAATGCCGTCTTAACTTTTATGTTGTAAAGTTAGTGTTTTATGTGTTTCCCTCCATTTGCCTACAGTTCAGTGTCATTCAGACTAAAATCCCAGACTTTCATTTGATCTTCAAAGGTGATTATATTATTTGTATGGGGCATTATGTGCATGCATCCGGTTTCATTCAGAGTACCTTCTTCTTTATGAAGTTACGCTGCTTAACGGCTCAAAAAGCTGCTCAGTAAACAAGCCTTTAAAAATCCTTCTCCTCGTTGAGTTTTATATTAAGTGTACTAAGTGCACAATTCTGTTCTGTTCTTCTCAATTAAACATTCAACTCTTTACGACAAGTAGCTCAATCACCATTTCAAACAACAAACGATGAAAAGTGAAACAAAAATCTCGATTTAAAATGTGTGTGTAGTTTTACGGCACTGTAATTAAACCAACTGGAATGAAATACAAGAGCAAAACAAGGTTCTAAATAACGTAAATAATTTTATTAAAAAAAAACTTGTATGCAAGTATAAAATTGTCTTTGAAAAGCCCTTTTCTTTTTTATAACTGGCGGAATGACTGAAAGAATAAAAAAAGTGCTGTGCATGTAATCTCAGGCTGCTCGTTTCTGTACCATGCAAATGTTTCATCTGTAACTTTACCTGTGACGACTTCCTCGGGTCCAGAGGCCTTTTTACATCATGCATGTACTGTATTTGTATTTCCGTATTCCTTTTAACCACCGTATCTCACTCTTAATTATCCTCGTACTCCATGGCTGTCATCAAGAGTGGGAGCCATCATTAACAGGTATATAGTCAGTGTAATAAAACCTTGTGTAGGAGTTCTGAACATTTCTTGTCTGACTTTTAACATGTTTTCAGACGCTCATAGCTGCTAGAGACAGAAGAAGCCATAAACAGCTTTTACATTCACTCAGAAGGTAGACGTAAAAAAGTGTGTCCATTTAAAATGTTCAAAAAAATAAATTGTTTCTGTTATAAAGATGTTTGGTTTGTCCTCGGTCCGTTCAAGTCTCACATCCCTCTTTCTTATTTTGATGTCTTCGGGTTAACGACAGGAAACATTTTCTTTTAATCACGGTTGCATCTCATATTGTCCCTCCGTGGCGACAAAGAAGTCGTTGAGAGTGTTTTGCAGAAAGTCAAAAGTCGGTCGTTCCTCAGGCCTCTGCCTCCAGCATGTCATCATAATGTCATAAAATTCCTCAGGGCAGCCTTCAGGACGTGGCATTCTGTACGACCTGTCCAGGCTCCTGATCACCTCTGGGTTGGTCATACCTGATAAGGGGGGAAAAAATTCAGCCGGTGTGAGACTTTAGTCAAGTTTTAGTTATATTTTGCAGTTTACTTAGCGGAAAAGTAACAATTCAACATTTGCATTGGTTTCTAAATAATATACTTTGTTAAAACAGAATTTGTGCTTAAGTACAGTACATTTTGTTCTCTTTTATCTATTTCTCACGTCTCGTACCTGGGTAGGGTATTCTTCCATAGGTCACTATCTCTGTGAGGAGGATCCCAAAAGACCATACATCCGATTTGATGCTGAATGTGCCAAAATTGATGGCTTCTGGAGCCGTCCATTTGATGGGAAATTTAGCACCTGGTTGTCAGAAGGTGGGTGAGAAAAAGTGGTGGAAAATTACATTACTGGTTGATTAATATAGAAAATACATAGGCGTGTCTGTGTGTGTGTGTGTTGATAGTGTGTAAGATAACTGTATTACCAGTACATACATTAATATACAGTTTTAGCATTTAAATATCTTTAATATTTCTGGTTGTATTTGTCCTTTTCTGCCAAAGGGTGCGAATGTGAGATTTACTGGATTTGTGAATCAATGTGATTGATTAGTGAGGTATTTACTTCACTGGATTAGCCAAAAACAAACCGACAAATCGATCATCCATCGTCATTTTATCTAAAACTGGTTTCAGCGTATACTGTGATACACTATAGCATAGGACACATTTTTGCATGAGAACCACACAATGTTGTAGAATAATGGCTGAAAATATGTTAATCTAATTTAAGGATTTTAATGATGCGTTCAGGGCCACGGCCACCATTGAAGAATTCCAATTCTGGGAATTTAAGAGTTTTGGCAACCTGTTTACATTCTGTATACTAAGTTTGAAATCTACAAAAAAAATGTATAGATTGATCACAGTATTTCACCTCAGCGCCCCACACTAGCTCTTTTATCTAGCACTTGCAATAAAATTTTACTATAAGCCTTTTAGCTGTTTCTTTGGGAGGATTTCACTTACAACATACATATCTTGTTCCTTTTCAGTCTAAATGCGCTTACTGTAAGTGGCTTTGTAAATTTAGACCTTTATGTTGTGTGGTAAAAATTTAGAGAGGATGAATTATACTTGAATGACCTCAGTAGATCTAAAAATAATTTTCAATGTGGGAAAACACTGCACATACTGCACCTTCTTGAGCTGTGTATTCTGACTCGATGATCCTGGCCAGACCAAAGTCCGCTATCTTGCAGTGCAGGGTCTCACTGACCAGAATGTTAGCTGCACGCACGTCTCGGTGGATGTAGTTCTTCTTCTCGATGTACGCCATGCCTTCAGCTATCTGTGACATAGGAAGGAAGAGAGGAATATTGGAAACAGCTTTTTAAGGGAATTATCAGATCAAATGCAAAGTCAGAAAATGAAGCTGTTAATTTATTAATTCATCCCAAAAAAGTAACCCAACTTTACTGTTTTACAGTAACACTGAAGCCATAGAATAAATGGAGATTTTTGGACATATAATGTATGTGTATGTTTCCTCTGGTCAGCGTGTACAGTAGTCTTAGCTGAGCGTATGCAATTGTGCAGCTACAGTAAGTGTGTATACTCGTGTTTACGTGTCTGATATCGGCAGCAAAGTGGGTTTAACAGGATGTGCCAACTCTCAGGAAGTGAAAATGCTTTTTTTGGAGGGGCAAAAGAGTTCTGGGGGAGCTCAGTGTGGATGGAAAATAGCATGATTTCCTGTCCGGATGTTAATAATTGACGTAGGGCGAGGCTTTTCAAGCCAGACGAGCAAAAGCCCCACCACCGAAACCACACAGCTACTGCTGACAGTTTCCATGTTTATTCACATCATGACTGGTGTCAGAAACATACTATAACAGATGTTCATAGCATTACTATGGTGCAGCTAGTGTGTATAAATAGACTTTGAGGTCAGTGAAAAGGCTAGTGTTTTTGTTTTTGTCAAGGGATGCAATATTCATATAACTATTAATGTCATATTGTTGAAAATAAAAAGTAACAAAAGTTTAAAAATAACAAGAATAATGGTTTCTATATTCAATTTTGCTTTTATTATTATAAGGTTTCTGAGAGGTGTGGGTTGGCAATGGATTGTCAGTCAATTCAATTGTTTGATTAGGAATTAAAAGTTTCCTACCTGCGCTGACATGTCTATCAGCTTATGTAGCTTAAGCTTTTTTCCTTCGTCTGTTTTTAGAAAGTCTAGTAGACATCCTGCAAACAAGAAGGCATGCACAGCTCTATCATCATGACAAATGACACAAGTATTGTTGTTTCTTAGGAACTTATTACCACAGGTTAAACAGAAATACATGTTGTGTTTTTTTTTTCTGGAGGCCACCAAATTCTTGGGATGATGCTGCAATTCTGGTGTTGCATGATAGTAACATACATATGTACATATGTATTTTGTTGTTCACTTCCTTCTCACAACTAAGTAAGAAGTCTTACATGAAAAGGAACTGTAAATGGTTTCTCCACAAGTGCTTTGAGCCAGGGCTACAATGAAAGTTAATCAGCAGCCATTTTGATAGTCAAATAATAGTTGAAGTAATTTATTTCTTTAAGCAAAAATGTCAAACATCTTGTGGTTGCAGCTTCTCAAATGTGAGGCTTTTTCTTTTTCTCTGTTTTATATAAATGTGAATTGAATATAATCACTATTTTCTGACATCTGTTAGACCAAACCAATGATTGAGAAAAAAATAGTAATTGTTAACTGCTCATTGGAGAGACTTTAATCATCAACAATCCCACATCCGTCCCCCCTTTCTCATTAACTTACCATTGATCATGTACTCAGTGACAATAAGAATAGGCTCCATAGTGACCACAGCATGGAGGCGCACCAGTCGTTCATGCTGTAGCTGCTTCATCAGGTTGGCCTCCTGGAGGAAGGCCTCAGGCTCCATCGTTCCCTCCTTTAAGGTCTTAATAGCAACCTTCTGGGTGTTCTTGTAGTAACCTGCAGTAGGAAATAAAACAAGGTGCTTAATTCATTGTACTCTACTGTCTTGGCTTATAAAATGTTGCCTATGACAGGACTCCCCCATTTTCTCACCCATCCACACTTCTCCAAACTGCCCGGCCCCCAGTTTCTTCACCATTTTCAGGGTCTCTCTGGGAATCTCCCATTCATCATGAGCCCACGGCTGCTGGGGTGCCTTAGGCTTACAAGGGGCATACAGCCGCTGACACAAACCGTCTGCGGTACCTGCACCCAATCATAATGCATGTGATTACATAAACAATTCTTTTTTTCTCTTTCTGCTAAATTTAGTTTTTGAAACAGTACGGGTCTGATGAGCTCTTGTTTCCTCAAATAGTTTAAAAAGCTTGTCTGTGTGCGCTTGTGTGTGCTCATTTCTTATAAGTTGCTGTGCATTGGCAGCCATTCTAAAGATTTGGCCTTGTTATCTTGTGGTTTAGTCACAGGAGTGGAAAGACTATCACTCCTCTCACACAGGAAATGCACAACGCATCACAAGGGTCTAACTTCCCCCGTTAAGTCAAAGCTAGTGCAGATGTCTTATAATTCACAGCAGTGAACTGAATCTGAATCCAAATCGGTGTATTATTTATATTTACCGATTTCGAGACCTAGCGTATATGCCGACCTACTTCGTTTTAAAAGATGTAGCTCTAAAAAATGTTTGTGGGTTGATGAAATGTGTTCTGTTTTTTTTTTACTTACGACCATAGTATTTAACCAGTTCCTGTAGGGATTGGAACGTGTTGGAGGGAGAGATGTAGTAGCCACCTTTGTCCATACTGCGGATCTTGTAGTGTTTTACCACATCTCCTTGGTCTGATACATAATCTCTGACTGACAGTGAGAAGGACCCTAAGGGGAAAACAAATAGTACAGTTACATACTCGGATACTTGAATAGTTGTGACATTGCACATATTCACAGACACATTAGCCACTGAAATTGTACACTTCAGTGCACTGAATGTAGAAGCTAGTCACCTTTACAGGTCTCACTCTCTCGGAGCAGGAAGGCACCAGGTTTATTTCCAGGGGCTAAAAGCATTCGTTCACACTCTTTCCTACTGATGTCCTTAAAAAACCACCTGCAGAAGAGAACACACACTTTTTTTTTTTTTGCAATGCTGAAGCGCAGTTTGATGAAAATAATATCTGATAAGGTGTTTCTTACTTTTCCATCTCCAGTGTATCTGCCCTGGCAACATAATTACATGGTATGAAGCCCTCCTGTCCAGTCAGCAATGATTTAGCCAACCACCATTCTCCATTTCTACAAACAGACAAACATGGCAGATCATTCTCCTTTCTCCAGGTTAGAGGTACTAAGTCATTTGTTTGGATACGTACTGTCGACTAGGAACTAGGGAAGCTACTTACTCTTGTAAAACCTTAAGTTTGTCTCCCTTTCTGAAAGGCAGATCATTGTCGTTGGTCGCTTTGAAGTCATGTTGTGCCACAAACACGATGTCATCTACAGACAAGTAGAGCAAACAGTTATTTCAAAAGAGGTGATCTATTAATAACAACATTTAATTTCATTTTTACTTTTGAGGGGTTTGTCTGGCTGCTACTCAGCACATTAACGTTAATGGAGTGGAAGTATATTGCACACGCATACAGCTAAATTACATAAATTACTGTCTGTAACCTGAAAACTATTTTCTTTCGTGAATGATTTCATCTTGTCCCCAAAAGAGAACAGAGGAAATCCAGCAGAGATTTCAATCGCTAAATGTAGCCTCCTCTCACTGCCTCTTATGTCTCTCTGCAAAGTAGCATCTGACTGCATAGACGTAGGCCTGTTATTTTTAGTAGAAAGTGTATTATATACGCTGCTTTCAGTGATTACCATTATCCGTATAGGTATTTCCACTTCGTGCCTAAAGAAAAGAAAAAGGGTATTTTTTAATATTCAGAATGTGTAGCGAGTCAATGGAAAACACTGGCAAATAATTTAAAGTAGTTAAAGTAGATTAAATTAAAATGACAGTGCACTGCTATACTTAGTCAAAGTAAGTAAAGCTTTTTTCTTGTGGTCTACTCACTATGTGATTTGATGAGTGCAGGCCCTGAGAGTTGTGTTTTCCTTTGTAGACCTTGTCATCTTTTACTTGCTTCTGGTCACTGCAAGCGCAGCCCATCCTGCATGTATATTGGAAATCTTCAGTTAGACTGCACATTAATAATAATAAGTTCATGACACGTTATCAATTACCACCACCCATACTAAGTTCCTGTAAAGAGCCTCAGATATTCATAGCATGTTGATTTTCGCATTCTTACCTGATAAAGCAGATGAGCTTTACAAAAGTTGTTTTCAGTCTCCACTCCTCCCACTGTAGAGCCTGTGAGTCTGAGAGTTCATTCCCAGTGCTGAAAAATGTATTAAACTCGCTCAAAATTTGCTTAAGTCATCAGTGGATAGTCTCTTTTTATGGTTTTATGTATTAGTTACAAGTGTACTGCCAACAACCTTCTTATAAGAGGAAGTGGAAAATATGTGTTCATCTTTATATGGTTGAATTTGCATGTACAGTAAAAAAAAACAGAAAAAAATGAAGTGCTAAAAATAACTGATAAGTGGCAGTTGTAGAAATTTACAGTGAATTCACACTATTTTGGTCAGTGTGAAAGCATCATGTTTTTGTTTTGTTTTTGTTTATGGACTTATTACAGCTATTTCTGAATCTGTTTGAAGAGACAGCTTTATTAGATGTGTATGTTTAAACTTTTAGATCGAGAGAAAAGTTACACTAAACATCACAATTCTTATATTAAGTATCTTAAGTATCTTAAGTATCT